GAATGTTGCCCGAAAAAGACAGGGGGTAGATAAAGATAAACAACCTCTGCCAGAACCCAAAGCGACTCTTCACGAAAAGAAGATTCAGGGTCCAAGAAAAATTACAACAGAAACGACCAGCACTTATCAATCGTAAAGGTGTCGTGTTTCTGCATGACAACGCTGAATCAAATACGGCAAGAGTCACCCAGGAAAAAATTTTGGAACTAGAATAGACAGCGTTACCCATTTATTTCGATCCCTGCAAAATTCTTTAAACGGACAAAAGTTCAATAGCGACAGCCATGTAGAGGAATTCATTCAAATGTTTTTCCCATCAAAACAAGCTGATTTTGTTGCATCAGGTATTGATAAGCTACCAAATAAATTGGAAAAGGTTGTGTATTTAATAATGGAGAATACGTTTTAGGCAAATGATCGGCAGACCTATGGGTTTTATGACCCGACCTGGGTCGACGTCGAGCAGAGAAAAATCGCAATGCTAGACATTGAAAATATATCTATTCTCAACAGTATGTCTAAAGTTTCTTTCCTGTTTTGGCCATGGGTTCTACGAATTCATGATGTTTATTATATAAAGATAAGAGTTCGTCGCTAGGGCGAACTGCTCTTCACTGTGGCCTTTCCTCTGTGGGTAAATTGCACAATTTGGAAACCGATTTCAGACTGAACGGATCTCTAAGATATGTATATCTTCGCGTTTGGAATAAAGACTAAATATTCATACAGTCAAATATTGAAGTTTAATTCAATCATACAACCCATAGCCCTACAATTCCAATAACTTATAACTCAACCCAACAGACTCAAAAGGGTCGAAAGGCTCGAACATCGTCGAATTCGACGATAAGTATTTGGGTCTTGATGGTGAAAAATAAAGCGTGTTCGCGATTTTTGTGCTCGTCGAACGGTCCTCCTGTATCCGTAAACTGGTGAAATTAAGGTCGAGTCGACGGACGATTGTGCTCGTTCGTTCGCCGGAAACCGCATCCTCGTCGATCATCTCGCGATGGCGTGAAAGAATGCGTCCCCCGTAGTCGGGCCTCACGCTCATTCCGGCGGATAGATTCTCCGAAGAAAGTAGGTAGGGTCGGTTGGATGGACAACGGAGCTCACCCTCGCGCGAGTCAAAACACCCTCGGGGCTGCGGAAACTCCTACCCTCGCCTCGTTCATTCTCTCTCGCTCTGTCTGTCTCTGTCTGTCTGTCTGCCTGTCTCTCTCTCTCTCTCTCTCTCTCTCTCTCTCTCTCTCTCTCTCTCTCTCTCTCTCTCTCTGTCTCTGTCCCTCCCCCTGTTTCTGTCTCTGTCCCTCGCACGCGCTTCCTGTTCTCCCGTTTCCACGTGTGAGTCGCGTGCATGGACAGGTTGGGAGCGTGGATTATATCGGCACATGCGCGGTGAGGTTGTCGCGTCGCCGGAAAAGCGGATATAGCCGGCGGCGTGTCAAAACTATTCCGCTCGAGCCGGTAGTTTAGTACGGCGTGGTTCTCCGCTCGCGACCGCTCGTTCCTTCCATCCCTCCACGTCGTGGAAGGGTTGTTTTTTCGCGTCGGTGAATCGTTTGTTCCGGTGCGTTCCTAGCAGGGCGAAAGCAGCGTCTCTGTTTCCGGCCCGCTCGCCACGAGACGATCCTACGCGCGGAAACCGAACACGAACACGCGAATCGCCCGCGAGACACACCGCGGGGGTGGTTCTAATGTTTACGAGGGTTCTTCGATCGTTGGTTGGTACTCGGGATACGCTGGTCTTTTTGTTCGCGCTACCCAGCCGCCAGGAGTTCGTCGCTCGACGCAATATTCCGTCGGGATACGGCCGGATCTCCAGGGACAAAGGTAAACACCCCACGTTTTCGTCCCGAAACAAGAGCGGATCTCGAGTCTCCGGCTCGATACGAGCGTGAAAGGTTTCGGGAACGTGGCCGGGAAGACCGAGCGTCAACAGAAGCTGCCAAACACGTGATACGATGCGAAAATCGAATCCTGTCGCGAGAGGAAATTCGCGATGATTCACTGTTCTGATTCTTTCGTTGTTTACTTGGGTAAAACTTTGGTTCTTCCGTAAGAATTAAAGAAAATCGATGGTCGAGACTTTCGAAAACTATTTTCGTACTGTATATTTCGTCGCATCGGAATAATCTCTTGGTCCTTTAGATTTTTTATATTGTTTGGTGACAGAATAGCTCGCGTTAAGTTGGAATTATATTCTGAAATACTGTTTTCCTTCGAGGTTGGGAAACACTGCATGCTGGATGGAGTTCGAACGAAAGCGGACTTTGAGATAGAAAGTATGAATAGTGATCCGCGAAGCTTTTGGAAGATGGTTGTTTGAACGAAGTTTTCAGTCGAACAAATACACTATTTATAAAAGGAGGAGACCTGGTCATCCAACAATACCCTTTCGTTTTCGTTCTTTGCCGGGCGAACGTTCGCGATATGTTTATCGTTGCTCTGTCGGATTCGATATATGTAGAAGGGTCAAGGACGAGGATGGAGTTCGTAAGGGCGACGGAACTAGTTTTGTCGCCGGTTTATGAAAGCCGAACCACTCGTCCTGAGAATTTAGTCTATACTCCGACTACGGTTGGGGATGACTCGACGATAATCGGTTTATCGCGGAAAATAAGGCTAAAAATTACATCTACTTCTACGCTGTCAGGTTCTGTCAGGCTCCAGACGTTTATAATCGTTTTATTTCTATTCTTCGATTTCAAAAAGATCACATAAATTATTTTTAAAGCTACTTAATATAGTTCACCGACCATCCGAAACATTTTGCGCGAGTCAGCAAACGATTAAAAAACTTTAAAAAATACTGCACCCTTGTCGGTCATTCCAGTTTCGTTCATTATTTTCGCGGGCGAATCTGGCGCGGATAAATGCGGAATTTAAATGAAATATTTCGAGGCGATAAATCGATTTGGATCGCGGAAAATCCACGCTGGGTACGCGAAGAATTTTAAAATTTAAATGCGCGCGCGCGTTTGTTTATGAAATCGTCAGAAGCGACGCGCGCGCGAAATCGATATTCCGGCCGTTATTAACATACGAGTAATTGGTATTGTTCGATAAAACCGCGGGTCACCATAAATCGAATAGCAGTACGGATATTTTCCACGCTTCCCCGTCACCCTCCTTGTCCACGCTTCTGCTTTGCATGGTCGCTGATTGTTGGTGTTACGCCCGAATCGTTCGGTTTTGTACGTGATTTTCTTTGGCCGCGATAAGCCGGTCTGCCCGACGTTTATTAGCATACGATAATTGGCAGCCTGTCCGCTGGGGTTTTCATGCTTTCCCGGCTTTCCGATGCGACGATGGAAAAATACGCGTAGCTCGGTCAACTGGTTTGTGACGCGCCTCCGCTGTAATCGTAGACTTTCCGTCCGCGCGGGATTTCGGCTTTGTAACTTTCCTTATTTCATTCTACAGGTCGAACGACTTTCATTTTTCAACCGTCATTGGCTTAGGAATAATTGGTACATTAATTGTAGTCTTTATGGTATTTGTTATTCGTGTGTTCCACGCGTGGAAAAACGCGGATGTATTTCGAATTTTACGAAAACTACTTAAGATATCAGTTTGAAACTTTGCAATATTATTTAGTCAGTGCGGTGCATAACTATGCTACCACGAAAATTTGTTATTGGACTTTTGAATTGGAGTGTTGAGTTTACATTATTTAAGCTATTTAGTCAGTTTTCTTGTATTACAACTCAGAAGTCCAAAAAATTAAAGAATTTACGCTATAGTTATGCACTGTACGTATCAAACTTACCGTAAATATTTTTTAAGTCTCTGGTTCGACTCACAAGAGATTCAAAACACCGTGGAACGAACTGTAGTAAAACGAGACCGTCGAAAGAATTCAAAATGCGCGGTCGGATTTCAGCGGTGCTTCCGGATGACGCAAAATTCTGGTTGCCGTCGACGGAACGGGCGCTCATTCTTGCGAAACGAGGAATTACGATTCATATGGCTGTCAGTTCCCGTTGAATTTTTCCATTTAATTTGAATAGGGCGAGCTCTCGCGATTCGACGCACGTCCCGGCGCCGAAAAAAAGCAGTTTGAAAATGGCGCGCTTGACTGCCGAGACAACGGAACCGTTCAATGATATTCGCGATTGAAAGGACTTCCGGGGGTCCGTGTAACGGGCGAAGAAACGCGCGAATTGTGAGAACGGATCGCGGATCAGGGGGGAAAAAGGTAACATTCCACTCGATTCGCGCGCCAACAGCTAAAGGAGAGCCCTGAGCTCTTTCAGAGCTGTTCCACACCTACTCGAAAGCCTTCGAGGCTTCGCCCAGTCGGTACTGTTTCAGAAACTCTTGCTCGACGCTCCGTTTCCTGCAGTTCTGCTGTTTCCCGCGATATTCTCGCCTCGTTCCTCGTGGTTCGTGTTCCGGGTTCCTTGTCCGCGCGAAAGTTTTTCGTACGATTTCTGTCGTCCCGTAGTTTCAAGCAGGGCTTTCCAGGCTTTGTCCCGCGGAACTTCTTGACTAACTTGAAACACAAAGTGAGTTTCTCTGTCGCTGAATGCCCCAGTATTATTCATCGCCGTCTATTATTTCGAAAAATTTAAGTTGCAAAGATACTTTTACAAAGTACTCCGCGGCCGGACGAGAAAGCGTAAGATCCATTGTCGACGCGGTCACGTGACTGTGCGCGCGCACGATTCGCCTCGGTTTTCGTCGACCTCGATATAGCGCGGCGTTGTATCGAGTTTGGCCCGGGAATCGATCAGTTTTCAACGAAACTTTATATTTCGAAATTTGAAATCCACGGTCATGTCCAGCAAATAAAATTCATTTAACCTAAATTTCAACCATTTTCAGGCCACTGATAATTTACAGCACAGAAACGCATCATAGAAATGAGCATATAATTATTTATCGGTTTTGAAACCGTGTTAAGGGTTAATCTAGTAAATACAAAGAAACAATTATTGCAGCCAGTTGGTGTGCTCACGAATAAACGGGGGATCCCCTTTCCTTTCAATTTCTAGAGATCGTCCAACTTTGGGCTCAAGAACCGAAAGCGGCATCGTCCCCAGGAAAAGGTCGTCGTTCGACCGTGACAGAGGCGAAATCTCGGGGAAATTTGTAAAAGCGGGAGTAGCAGCGACATAAATCGAATTAAGGCGTCAAGACGGTGCACGCGTCCGAGCGAGTTTTTCCCGGATGGCATCCCGGTGCTCGTTTTCCGCGGCCCAGCGTCGCCCGTCTCTCCCAGCAGCTTCACCGAGCATATCGAGTGAATCGCGATAAAGCACCCTCGACACGTCTCGTCGTCGGACAAAAGGGCTACACAGACGCAGCTTGAATTGCCCCGGACTGGTTCCCGTCTCGTCCCAACCTCTATTTTTCTATCCTCCCCTGTTCTGTTACTCTATATCCCTCCATACAACTCCCCGCGAGGAAGAAAAATCGAAATCGAAGTTCAACGCGTCCGACGATCGACTCTCTGATCGGAGGGAACGATCGCCTGAGGATTCTTCGAGGCAAGGTAAGTTACACTCGTAAATTTTTCCTTTTTCACGTTTCCCTTCCAGCTCTCAGTCTCACGGTGTGTTTAAAATGACAAGTTGCTCTAAAAGACTGACAATTTGATTTGTTTTCACTTCTATTACTTTCAAACACATTTGGATCGATTCAATCGGTTATTGTATACTGGATATATGGTATTGGGGCAAATACGAATTGAAAACGAAGAATGAAATTTGTTCGTACGAGGCTCTGTTTGCGAGAAAATCGACTTCGAACCCGAAGTTTTTGCATATATGTAGTAAGGGAATACTGTACGCGAAGATGCGACGCGATGTTTCTTGGTATATTTTAGAATTTAGATTCGCTTATACTTTCGGTATGGTATAGTTTGACTCCCTGATAAAATTCGCCGATAAATTTGTGCGGTAAAACGTACTTTGATCGAAATAAAAATTTTTCATAGCTGAAAAATCCGTCTTTAAAAATACTGTTTTAAGAATTGTCGCAACGCTTAAAGTTAACGTTTGGGGCGTTACGGTTCGCTCGATTGCGACAGAAATTCCTGTAGAATGTATAGCAGTCGTTGTTCAGGCGAGGTCGCGTCGACAGGTACGATCGATTATCGCGTGTGAGCCGACCTTACATCGCGACAGAAGGTTTCTGGGAAATCGTGTCTCTGGTTCACCAGGTCGTATTTATTGTTCCCGGCGGAATTGGTTTGTTGCAAATTGCTATTCTCGCGGTTCTTCGCCGCTTCTGCACGGTTTCCATTTAACCCCCTTTTCGCGACGCGCGACTCGAATCTTTCTGCCTTTAATTTCGGTCGAGAGTCGAATCTGTGCGAGCCTTCGATAAACTCGCTTGAATACTGGATGAACAACGTGTTCGCGTTCGTTTTCGCGTACTTTTCTGGCGATAATTTAATCAATAGCAAACTACGTAGCTGCGAGGCAGTGATTCTCCATTTCAATCCCCGTGACCGATCCGGGACGTAATTTATTCGTATCAATTTTTAAACCGTGCATCAATAATTAACCTTTTCAGTACCCTGGATGGCGGAATTTTGACTCTACCGAGCTTTTATTATTAATGTATGTGGGATTCTTGCCCTTGCAGATTGGAATATACGAGGGAATCCCCTGACGATGAAATAAAACAGCGGGAACAGATGTTTAAAAGATAGTTTATTGACTAATGCTTCCAAGTGATCGACTTTGGCGCAGGGCGACGACTGACTCCTCAATCGGGTCCCCGTCTTAAAAACTACCGCCTGCTTACGTTATCCCCGCGTCGCGCGGTCTCACTCACGCGCCACGCCTCTCACTCACCACATGTATGTTCTATGTATACCATAGGGTGGCTTTTCCTAAATAAATCCTATTATTATTGGTATTATTATTATTGTTGGAATTTTATCTTTGTTGGGAGTGGAAATTCTGGACGTTGGAAATTATATGAACAGTACGACATATACATATAACTAATTATTTGCCACTGTTGTGTGAATTTTATTATTTCCAGTACAAAGTTATCGATCGAATTTCTGTATTACTGATTCCAAACTAAGCAGTTTCCAAAGTTCAAAATGGCTTCCGTTGGTCGCAGGAGATTAATACGGGACGCGAAACGAATTGTCTGATCGTCGAACGCTTTTAGCTCGTGAAAAGGGGAGGTGGGAGAAGGGCGTCGGCGAAATAAAATGACAAAAATCCGTAATACAGGCTGGCCACCCTCGAAAACGTCATTGAGGGCGCCAGGATTCGAGGAGGCTCTGCAATTTTAGTCTGCGTCGGGTCAACGGGCAATGATTTATCGGAACATTTGCACGTCGGTGTATATTATTGCTTGGGATATCGAGCACGGGCCGAAAGCCCCGCGAAATTCTGTGACCATTGGAAAGAAAGGTGCGGGAGGGTGAAGTAAATGGCTTTGGCTATGAATTACAATACCGCGCGGAACGCTGAGTTGATTAAACGTCCGTGAAAATTATGACTGACTGTTTCGATGCGAAATTGGTCAGCCAGAACCGGTCGATGATCCTCGAGGTTTCGTCGCGCAATCGTTGAAAGTGCTCGGGGAAACGGCCAAGAGATAAATCCACTGTTCACGAATCGCCTTTGTATCACAAAGAGATAAAAGCATCCAAGTTTCGCCCTGTCCCGACCGATAGTAATTTCTTAAGCTTCCAGGGAACACGGTTTTTTAAGCAAAACGGCGACTAGAACGGTTCGAGGAGCGTAAACCGATCTTCAATTTGCCCTACCGGTTATTAGAGATAACAGTTAGCGAGTTAGGTAAACCCAAATTCTACCGCATAATAATAGTCGCCTACAGTTTCAGGAACAGAACCTCTGAACATTTCCCTTAAGTTTCAGGACGCGACAACGTCCTTAGTTAGCCTCTCATTGCATGTATCTAGGGGACACTAATTACCAAGTCAAGGCGAATGCCACTAATGTCTAGTTGCCACTGCTTTAGAAATAAGATTTGAACCGTTCACGAAATTCTCCGATTCCAGTTGCCAAATTCGACCGAAATCAAATTGCGTCGCGCTTGTCATTATAGTTTCGGGAACTTGGCTGGCTCAAGCGTTCAAAGACGTGTCAATTTTCTGTGTCAGACTCTTGTTTCATTGTAGAGGAACAGAATTCACATTGCTTTTTAAATCTTAAAATCACGTAGACCTTTAATGCTAACTCAGACATCGATTATCAAATTCCAACGTTTAGCAGTCATTGTAATTTCAGAAAATCTGTATAATCGAAAAATTCAAAATATATAAATCCAAAATAAGAAACTCAATCAATTGCTAATGAAAGATTGAAAATCTCTTCTCAGAAAATCAGAACGTTGGCTTTGGATTGCTTCGAGCTCGTTCTGCAGAATCTGATCGACGAATAGAATTTGCACTTAGGAGCCTAGGTTCTCGATCTCCTGAACTAACGTTTGAATTTGTTGGTAACGTTGCAGATCGTGTGAACACCGACGAGTCCCATGAAGTCCACGGACGACGCTAAAGTTGGGGAGCGATCGGCGCCAGTGAACATCGACTCGAGATCGAGCAGCTGCGGCTGGTGCTCCAGGTGAATCGAGACCGGAAGACAGACACTGATAGGGGAATACCGCTGTTGGATCATGTACAAGATCCTTCGACGCGGCTCCAGCCGCGTGTTCGTCGCCTGCGTGGTCGTCCTGATGCTCCTGTTGTGCCTGTACTACGTCAACCAGGCGCAGGCACCATCCACCGGACCCTCTGCAGGGATTCTGAACGATGAGCTAAGGTACCAAGACCGGGGACCAACTTCGATCACTCCCGATTACGTGGAATCACCGGACGCCAAGGTCTCTTTGGACACCTGCCCCATCATCGTGCCCAGGAACGTGGACATAGACACCCAGCAGGAGTTCGAGAAGTTCAACTTCCAGGCAAGTAGACTTTATCTATCGGTTGCACGGGCGAGGGTATTCGTCGAGGAGGATCTTCAGAAATCTCTGTTTAGCCTCGTTAGAAGCTGTAACACGTATTTCGATCCTCGTTCGATCGAGTTTCCTCGAGTTTCTTGTCGTATGTTGGGTATATGTTTTATAGATCTTTATAATAATATTCGCTACATCCATATATTTCAGTTGGTTCGAAAAGCTGCTTTCAAAGATGCGTCTTATTCACGTAAATTCATAATTCAGATATACAATTACTCTCTCTCGTATTCGTACACTGTGATGGTGTAAATAAATTAGAAATGAAGCTTATCAGCGGTCGTGTCGCGTTGGAAACGGTCCTTCTCGTCCGGTCATCGACGTTAAGCTGCATTGGCCGTGACCGGACCAGGATGGGTGACCGGCTTGATTGAGATCACCGCGCATTTGGTGGTTACATTATTATTATTGTATATCGTTTATAATATACATCTCTATCGATTTTGTAGTTAGGAATTAATATTAAAAATTTAATATCAATTATAAAAAAAAAAACAAAATAAAACTACTTTATAAATAGAAGTAAGAGAATGTAGTAAACAATATTTGGTAAAAGCGAATGGGAAAAATTTATAAGAAAAAAATAATTCTAAGAGTAACACTGTAGCTTATAACAAAAACAAATACTATACATATATTCACTATAACGATAAAAACTATATTAATATTCGACTTAATTAAGAGTTTCGCGTTAGAAAATAGTTCCAATTACGCTTTCTGCGTAAAATTGGCCTACCCACGCATCTAATTCATTGATTTGATTTAATTTCTGATCCGAATTGCCTGTGCCACGAAGTTAAAGCCTATAAGCATCTTCCATTCCTCGAAGGAAACTTTCCTTCTCAGCGGATTACACCGCGATAAAAAGTGAAGCGGCGGCGAGCGGGGGAAGAGCAATTATTGGGAAATCCGGATTCTCAACTAATTCTCATGCATAATTGATGCGATTATTTATGTCCACGAGGATCGTGCGAGCTCCGTCGTAGTAAAGATTCAAAGACATCGCGAAGTCCGGTCGTTTCGAAAGTACAGCGTCATTAGCTGGCAAACTTTCCTTTCTTCGATCCCGAGGGAGTCTGCAGACTTAGCTGATTTAATGGTTAACCCTTCTAGTAAGGAATTTTTCTCTTTCCTAAGCCATTCGGTCGAAAATAATTTACCAGTTTGCCTCCTGAGCTCGACCCACCTGAAAGTTCTCTAGGAAGCTTCCTCGGATTTCTAAACAACCTTTGTTTGCTACGAACCAAACTGTAAAAAAGAGTAAAAAAGCTTCTCAGATTTTGAAGAAAATAAATTTATAGTTCAGAATTGTTCGAAGTCAAAGATTCTGTCATGCTGAAAAGGGTCTAGCCGAATAAGCATGGTAAAAGTGCCCCCAAACCAAATTGAACGGGGTTAATACCACTCGATATGTAGTTCGAAAAAAACCCTTTTCACAGAGTTTCAACTCGGTATCTCTACTACAGGGGTAATTACGGGTTGAAATAAAAAAAAATATTTTAACCGGCGATTTTTTGTCGAAGTTATCAAGTGACCACGTTTGTTTTTATACAGTATAAAGCTCTCAAACGAATTACTAGTCTCTAATTTTTTCAAATTTTTCGAAGGGGTTGAACGTAGTCAAAAAAATAAGAAATGATTAAAAAATGGTGAAAAAGCTTTATATTGCCTTAATTACTTACGTGACCGTGTTCATATTTTTACAGCTATGGCGTAACATTATGACTATTATTGCGTAATTTTTCAGATTTTGTAGAAAAGTGTTTTTGGGAAAATTGTTAAAGAATTATTAATTCATGTTTCCTGATTTTTCATACGGAAAAGGGCCGCATATGTTTTTAAAATAGATATAATTAAAATATATTTGTTTATACATACTTAGTTTACTGGTCGCTATATGTAGTTTTAAATACGTGTGGTACCGGACTCCTGTTGATTAGAACCGCCACAGCGCGGCGCGATGCGCTGATCATTTTGGCAAAGCATCCGCGACATTGCCAACATTTTGTCTGAATCTGAACAATATTATGTACTGATAAACAGGAAGATGAGGATGAGACTATCTCAAACAATATTATAAATATAATGCTTTTATAAATAAATATATTTTATATTATAAGATAAACCAAAAAATGATTTTCACCCCGTAATTACCCCTGTAGTAGAGATACCGGGTTGAAATTCTGTGAAAAGGGTTTTTTTCGAACTACATATCGAGTGGCATTAACCCCGTTCAATTTGGTTTGGGGGCACTTTTACCATGCTTATTCCGCTAGACCCTTTCACGGACGTATGCTTCTTATTTTTGTCGCGAGTTACGAAGAAATTTATTTTTCGAGACTGTTACGTCGATTCGCCTTTCCCCGAAATATTTTTGGTCAAGAAAGGGGACGAAAGTTTCCGACCGGAAGGCAATCTCTCCAATTAGAAGCGAAGGCCTCGGCAGCCGTGGAATTAATGTTTGCATTGGCGAACTACATAATTTCGAGGTCGAACGAAAGTGCAGATACAGCGGTTCGCCGAGGTGACTCAATTAAACAGCCGACCCCCGGTGAACTGTAATTCATTTTAATTGCAATTACTCCTGAGTCCACGCGAGACTCGATGGACGCCGACTTTTAGTGAAGAAAAATGATTTTTAGAAAAAAAAGACCGCTCGACGTTACGATTTACGAACAAATCATTTTATCGAATTCATAAAATTCGTCTTACGTTACTCGACATACTGTAGAGTTTCAATTTTGTATTCTTAATGATAACTTCGAGAAAATGGCTCGTTTATATTATCTTATTGAAATATCAAGCGCCATTCATTTAGTTCGTACGGTTACCCTAAGGTCTGATCTAAAAATCAATAATTTGAACATATTTCCTCGAAAAACTATACGATGTTTTAAGTAAAACAAGACGAATCGAATCGAACGTATCTTTTCATCCCTTGCGTTACTTTATTTGATCGCGCGGGGAATATTTATTTATTTTGATCGGTTCTCTGTGTTTAAATTCGGTTTAAAACTATAACGAGACCAACGCCGAAGTTTAATGAAATATTTCGTCGTTGAATAATATCGAGCTTAACTATATCACTAGGTTAATTTTCATAAAATTAAGGCTTTGTGGCGTCGAGCGTACGGAACTCTCTATTGATTATTTAGCCAAAGCAGACGCAGTCAATCACGGTTGAAGGAGTGATTCGATTTAATTTCACGCCAATGGGAATTTCGATCACGTGTCTCGTTCGATTGACGATGGAAGCCAATTCTCGAAGTTTCTGCGGGAAGATGAAAGAAGTTTGCCTTCGATTCGCAGCCGACCGAAATGCTTCGATGAATTAAACCGTCGAGCAGATAATTCCAATTAATTCCCGGACAAAGCGGAAGTCTTAGTTAAGGTGTAATTGCTGTCAATTGTGGAATACGCTTGGGCGACGAATCATCGCCGTCCTAATTCAAATAATCGCCACACGCTGCTGTCAGGCGGCCTCCTAGATAATTCCTAGTCTCCCCAACGCCTCGATTTCGGTTCTAATCTGATGGTCAATTTATAAGGTAGGGTCAACTTAAATATGCGCTTACAAATCCAAGTCAGTTTCATGAATTTTACAGAAAATTTCATCCCAAGGACTTTCTTTTATTGAGCCACTGAAACCTATTATAGGTTTATTTCGGCTTTAACAATTTTGTTGTTACAGTAGTCTTACAGTTATTGTACAATGAAAGAATTTCTATTTAATATAATATAAAAAATATTAGAAGTCCGCTGTATTGAATACGAGCACGAATTAAAACTTTTAATGGTACATTCCTTTGCGTGTTACCTTTGCGTCTGATTTCTTAGAAGAAGAATAAGTTTTCGAATTTGTACCAGTAATAATTTATTTCTGAATTCGAGGAGCTAGAGTCGAAGACCATGCGATCTTGCAGTATCGTTTTATTAATAAATAGCAAGTGTTTGGTAGTTTGGAAGACTGTCAAAGGGTTCTAGTCGGATGTGTTGTAATTAGTCGGTTATCAGATAGGAAGCAAACGGCACGAACTGGCAAGACGGAGAAAGTAGGAACGATAATGGATCGCATTCTCGTTTCGGCGCGATCTCTAAGCCAAATGCGCCGGTGTAATTTGCCAGCTTTCCATCGGACAGAGTAATATTTGGGATAATGGAGCCGCGCGGCACAGCCTTTCCAGGCATCACGGTCGCTCGGTGAATCGTTCATGAGCCGCTTATTGCGATTTCGAGTGTTTCGAAGGCCGTTCCCGGTTCTAATTATCACCGCGTTTGAAGACCCGATCGACGACAGCCGGTTATTTTGGATTCCGAGTGTGTACGGAATTGCAGTTTCGTTGCTGAGACGACTACTCGCATTTCTACGGCCCCGGGGGATCTCGAGTTCTCGATTCCACGGGCAAACTCGATACGCTTTTCCATCTTCTTTACCCTTACGTGACCCTCCAAGATACACGACGAACGCGGACCTGCCCTTTCAAGCGTCCCAGCGATCGTTCACTGGTGGATTTTTAATTTACAAAGGACCTCGGTGCTTTCGCGAGACGCAGAATAAACTAATATTCTCGGAATCGTAAATTATTTCTCACAGCAACAACGTTCGCAGATGATTTTCGCGTCTTTAACACATTTATGGACGACAAGACTTTTTACATTGGAACTGAGACAATTAAATCTCAGGCTGAAATGTTACAGAAAATAAATTCGAATAGGATTCACGAATTTTAATGGGGTTACGAAAATAATTACTAAGAGAAATTTTAATTTGTATAGTTTAAAATTGCCAGAAATCACAATTTCGATCTCATAAAAAGTTTTACAGTTTTCGTCTTGCGTTATTTACTGCATTTTCGGGGGACCCTCCAAGATTTAAACTGAACGATCGATGCCACGGGACCATCCATCTTCCGCCGAAATTCCGTGCACGGAAAGTTATTTATATTTCC